ACTGATTACGCCAGGCTGCCCCTCAACGCAGGTCCGAAGCGATGGATGCCCACTTAGCTTTAGGAAGGTCTTTTGGGCGGAGGTCTTACTGAGAAATTATTCGTGCATTATCTTCGTTTCTTTCTTTGTTCCCGCGGGATGTTGGGTCCCTGGACGTTCGGCGGGCGGTGGCGGGCTTTAATGCATGATCTGAAGACCTGACGTCGTGCGTCCTTTCTTCTTCTACGATAATGTATGAGTTTGCCTTATTTTCTTTCGCCTGCGTATCTTCCAAATGGCGGATACGAATTTTGACTTGAGGAATTCCGAGGATTAAATCATATTAAAATGCGTAAGAGGAAGCATGAAAGAGGGAGATCTTTAAAAAGGGATTAAATTATATTAAATCGCGTATCAGGGAAGTTGTTGTGCAAATTCGCCTGGAATTCCCGCCGCATCCTAAAATATATTCATAGATTATTGCATTCGTATTCCGTACGTCCTTCGTCATAACCAAATATATCGTCTATATTTCGAGCTGCCTATACGAAGAAATCGATTTTATGCCTATATAAAGAGATATCGTACGATCAAAAAATAGTTGCGATCTCGCTCTACGAGTATATATATCTCTTTCTATGCACTCCGAAATATATTCTTATAAAACGATTATTACGATCTCGCGCTACCTGATAGATTAATATTCTAAAAAATATTGCGTTTTCGCCTTGGAGGCATATTTAGATCGCAATCTACGCGCAAGAAATTATAGATCTCAATCATAATTATCAAATAAATTCATATGATAAGAATTATATTAAATCGCGCATCAGAGAAGTTGTTGCGCCCGGAATTCTCGCCATATCCAAAAATACGTTCATAGACTATTACGTTCGTATTCCATACGTCTTTCGTCATAACCAAATATATCGTCTGTATTTCGAGCTGCCTACGCGACGAAATCGATTTTGGGCGTATATAAAGAGATATCATACGATCAAAAAATAGTTGCGATCTCGCTCTACGAGCGTATATATCTCTCTCTATGCACTCCGAAATATATTCTTATAAAACGATTATTACGACCTCACGCCGTCCGATAGATTAATATTCTAAAAAATATTACGTTTTCGCCTTGGAGGCATATTTAGATCTCAATCTACGCGCAAATAATTATGGATCTCAATCATAATCATCAAATAAATTCATATGATAAAAAATTATGACGTCTTTACGAAATAATCTGAATTGGATCTCATTCCGTGGACGTTGCATCTTCATGCCGCAAACGTAGATAAAGAGATATATGCCTGCGGAAAGATTATTACGATCTCGCGCCGTCCCAATATAGATGATTTGAAATTCAAAGACCAGATCCAATTTCTATAATAATCACGCGCCCCTATATCCCTTATTTTCTCGAGAATCCATTCCCCGAAATTTGACCGTCGCGCCTTTATATAGATCTCGCATCTCCGCTATTAGAGAATTACGTATATTATAGAGAAAAATCGTTATCGTATATTCCTATTAATAATGAGAGAAATCAATATCTCATTCTAATTATTATTAGGAAAAGAAAGATATATTCATTCATATATTCCCTTCAAAAGAAGATTTGAAAAATAATTATCATTCAAAAAATGAAAAATCAAATTTTAATTTTTGAAATTCCCAAATGAAAATCATTTTAATATATCATTATCATCATAATAATCATCCAATAACTATGAATAAGAAGAAATAAAATCATTTTCTAGAAATGAAATCCTATCATAGCCCAGAAATATTTAAATAGATATAATTCAAAAATCTATTTTATGCAATCCTAAAAGTAGATATATCGAAGAAATATTTCATTAAAATGAATTTAATTCTCTATCAATATCGATAATTCATAAAATATATCATAATTCTGAATCGAAAAATATAAAAGAAAATAAAATATTTCATCATCTATATCATTCATAATCTCTATATATCACGAATCATTATATTTGAAAAAAAAAAATAATAATAAAAAATACGATCTTCCTTTGAATTATCATCAGCAATATATTATCATAGTAAATCCTATAAAAATACACCGGAAATTTATATTCAAATATTTTTATCTTATATATAACGATTTGATAGAATCAATAGAATCAAATCAAAAAAGAAATTCAGAGATAAAATATATGAAAAAGAATCATTAGATTTGAATATAGAATATCATATATAAATTCATTCTCCAAATATTCGTCATCAATTTTATCCGAGACCATCTTATCAAATAAAGAAAATCTTAATAGAATATTTATTCTAAATTATTATTTCTTCCAAATCTATATTGCGATATCTTTTAATATCTATAATCGAAATATATATCCATATATAAATCTAGAATCTATCAAAAATTGGGCCTAGAATTAGATAATCTTATTCAATTTTCCAATTCTAGAAATTTATCTTCTATTATTAATATGTTTTTTTCATAGAAATATCATTTTTCTAGAGATCGATCATATTTATATATCTGCAGAATAATAGAATATCTCGGGTATGCCAAATTATCATTATCCTTAGAGATCGTGTAAAAAATCATAATCATCCTTAGAGATCGACAAAGAATCATAATCATCTCACAATTATAGATGCATTCATTCATCTCTATCCAAATTTAATTTTTCATTTCCTAAAATAAATATAAAAATATTAATATATGTATCATCTCATTCAGAAAACGATCATTAGATTATTAGATTCGTTGAAAAACAAATTCATGAAATAATAATATATCGATAAAATCAAATCAATCAATAAATATTTCATTTAATTATTCATTTCGAGAAATTATAAAATCGATAATTCTCAAATCAATATAATAAAGAATATATAGATTAGTAAATCGATATATTAGCGACCTATAAAGTAAAATATTTCATATTTTAAAAAATCTCCGGTTCCTCTTTCAAATAAATAGATTAATATATTAAGCAATCGATTCCCAAATATGTCAACAAATTTCAGAGAAGGTTAGATTGATAGAATGAAAATTCAATAGATGCGAAAAAAATGGATAGACGGACCGACAAATTGACCCATCAACTTGACAAACGACAGACCATCAAAACGACAGGCCAGAAAACGGAGAGATTGAGAGACCGGCACTCTGACTAATTGACCATCATGCCGATTCACCGATAGACCGCAAGCTGGGGCGGAGAGAGGGGGGCAATCTAATGGAGAGCCGCAAAGCCTATCATTTTATATAAACGATTCATCGTAAATTTATGTGTATATATATATGTAGAGACTAGAATAATTCTCATAAATCTTTTCAGAAAATGCAAACAACTCATTTTTTGATCTTGTCAATTTGAACAAATTTTCTTCCAAGACATACAGATGAGAAATAATGAGCCCTTGATTAGACCTTATCTTCTCCTATTATTCTCTGGCTCAATATCTTTCGATCACAATAATTTGATGTCTCTGTTTTTGAACGCCCTCCGTTGTTGAAGTGCCAGCGTCCCATCAGATATTGTCTGGATTGTCGGGGAAAAGCTTGCACTGCCGACATGGTACTTCCTCGATTGTAAGGGACATTTATGACAGGCAGAATGTCATTGTTGCAAAGTGCCTGGGGTCTTCGAATGGGAAATTTCCTGTTATTAATTGCTTTTTTAACCGTCCCTTATATTCGTTCGATCTCTCTTAGTTTTTGGATGCTTTTTGCAGTCCCAGTTTTTGATGGGTAACTTGCTGTCTTTTGAGGCTTTCTTGGAATCCCTACTGACAGGCCGTGGTGCTTGATTGATCACTCGCTCTCTTATTTCAATTTCCACATACCGAAACTTGTAATTAGCGTGTTTTGGTGTGCTGTTCCGGCACTTAATACAAACCACACCTCTACGTCTTGGACTGCATGCTCATGATCCACATCTAGATCTAAAGAGAATTCGTCTGAAGCCGTGGTCGAAGGAAGTTTCTAGTATTTTCGTGGGATGAAGCAAGCTTGAGCGCCGCAAGGCAATACCTGATCTTCCTACATATACCCTACTATAATATGGTAGCTTCCATTTTCTTTTCCATTATCCCAAGATATCCCCAATAAACCCCTATTATACTATAGTAGATTCCATTTTCTTGTCCATTATCCCAGTATATCCCAATATACCCCTATATACTCCTCTGTCATGCAACTGGACCTCAACATTCCTGGCCGCGCACGCGCAAGAGCTGGCCACAGTTACGCAAGCTTGCAGCTGCCCTATATTGCGGTTATATGGGGGGTATATTGGGGTTATATAGGGATAATGGAAACTACTATAGTATATTGGGGTTATATTGGGATAATGGAAAATAACATGGAAACTATTTTATCATATAGGGTTATATACGGGTATATTCCTATATGCAGCCAAGAGTCCATGAGCTTGTTGGCTTCTGCAACGATACGCGGCCTCGGACAAAATGGATTAAACCTCGCGACCCTTTCAAAGTAGTTTGGGTCTACTCAACCTCCAGAACGAGTCTGCATTGGGCTGTTTGGAAGATCCGCCCAGCCCATGCTGCTCCCTCTATCACCCCAAACCAACCTTAATCCAAACAGCCATAAGGAAGCCGAGTCACCCAGGGTTGAGAACCTGCCCAGGATTCTCAGGATCCTGGCTTGAAACAGGTTGCCCTGGGCTTGTTCTACATTTGTTCTGCCCTAGCCTCTCGTCCCCCCTCCACAGTTGACAACTGATGACACAAGGAATTGGCACCAACAGGATGGCGCTACCCCACAGAGCCGAGTAAGCTTAGCAACCCCACCTCGCATTGCAAAGAATCTCCCGAAACTGGTGTATGCATTCATCAAAGCTGGCGAAGCCACTGAACCATGTGACTGGCACTATGAGATGGCGGCAGCAGCAGCAGCGTGGCAATTTATCGGGGTAGCAAGAAGCATGAGCACAGCGGAAGGAAAAACGCAGCTGTGGAGTGGCAAGTCTCTTCAACTTGCTGGCACCGGCTCCTCAACCAATTTAATGGAGCGTGGCCGGTCAAGAGCTCGGGACAGCACCTCCGATGATGAAAGACAGAAAACATGAACTTCAGACCACAGCGAGAGAAGGAACAGCCGTGAGCTTGTGCCCAAGCGAAACTTAAGTGCATCGCTAGCATTGGATGACCGATTGGCATGCGCCTTCTTCGCTTTGATTTGACTTGTCCTAGAGCCTAGAGTTCTTGCAAGCAGACAAGTGTTGCCCCAATGCACGGGTGTGTTGGCGGCGGTAGGCCACTTCAGCTGGCCCCGCAACGCTCCCACGCTGATGCATCGAATCTGAATTGTTGTTGCTGCAGAGAAGCGTCTAGAAGCAGCCATGTGCTACAAGATCCCCAACATCAACAACAATACAAAGACGCAAGCGCCAAACGTGATCATCAAACATGAGCAGGTCTGGGAGTATCCTGTGGCAGGCCTGGGGATCTACGTGCTGGCTGCAGTAAATACTTAGGACGCTTACTGCTGTCTGTTCTGGATAATGAACTTGTTTCGTCCTTTTAAGCGGTTCTATCAGGGTCGTAAGTACAAGTGTAGCGTAGAACCTTTGCACCTTTGCACAACTGCCAGGCAACCCTGTATTCCGCATGGACTACGGTTACCCTGCATTGGCACTCACAACAATCGTTATGATGCCCACCCACCCTAAATAGTAGTTTCCATTTTCTTTTCCATTATCCCTATATATCCCCTAAACCCTAAACCCTAAATAGTAGTTTCCATTTTCTTTTCCATTATCCCTATATAACCCCAATACAACCCCTATAAAACCGCATATAACCCACGCCAAAATGACAATGATAGCAGGCACACAGACTGACTGCCCTGCCACTTGTTAGAAAGGAATGTTTAGTGTTGGTTTAGGGTTTAGGGTTTAGGGTCTAGGAGGAATGGGTTCTGCAGCTTCTTATAGGGGATACTATCTGAGTTTACACAGCTAACAGGAAGCTGTAAAGCCTCAACCCCGAAACGTAAACACCAATTCCTGCATTTCAATAACCCCTACTGGTCTAGACGGACATGTATTGCATAGATTCTCAGATAGGGATCCGGATGCTAAACTCAAAGTAGTTTCCATTTTCTTTGCCATGACCACTATATAACCCCGATATACTTATAGTGGATCCTAAGAACCCCAAACCTAAAAACCAAAACCATGCTTGAACACCTCCGTCGATCCTACAAGCAAATGGCAAACTGGGTGGCACCCCTGGGAGTTGCTGAGGCCACACGAAGCGCTCCCCCCGGCCTGCATTGCTTTTGGTTTCGGAGTGCAAGCTTCTGGAGGGAGAGGGAGGGAGGGAGAGAGGGAGAGAGGCGAGAGTATGTAGGGATTCTATGTGCGGCTACCAAGCCTTGCTTGGTGGGATCATGGGGAAAGGGCTTTTGGTATATGCAATCCTATACAATGTTTTGGCTCCAATATTGAACAACCAGTAACCAAGTTCACCCAAAGAATTGAGCTACAAAAGGCCTACTTGGAGGTTCACGGGCCGTTAGGATGCTGGAGATGCATAGCCCACATGAAGGTGCTGAACTTATAACACCACCTACAACTACTCTGTCTCTAGACCATCCCCATGAAGCCCGGTAATTGTACAGAACCTGATCGCGCAAGCCTTATCACCCCATAGACTCTGCCTTGCTCCTCGAAAGCGTGCACTGTGAACTCCTGCACCCAGCGAACAGGTCCGATGATGGTAGTGGCAGGTAGTGAAAGTGGTAGTAGTGGCAACCACGAAGTACCAAGCTCATGAGTAGACAGCTTCCACCATGTGATCTGTGTAGCACAACATCATTGTTCTTAGTCCGCTCGCGCGCCCAGACAACTAGACCATTTGGACCTTGAGTCGCAAAGCCTGCATGATCTCATCCTCCCGCCAACCATAAAGCTGCATGACGAAAAGAGAGAACCCCAGAGAAAGCTGAGTGAATCCGCAATCTCGTATCTTCCTGCCACCCCTTGAACATCAGACCGCCTCACATTTCCAACACCTGAACAGCACACCAGACAGAGCTCTACATGGATGTTTAAAAACACCTCAGCATGGCCACTGCAGGGCCATGTCTCCTCCCAGTGCAAAAGTCCGTGCGTGGCGTCGAATACAGCCTAGGTCGCGAAAGTGGTCATGTAAGAACAGGAGACTTGGCATACGAATGTGACACCACGTACCCGGGACGTCCCTTCCTCACATAGACTCATGACCTACATGTTCGCTATATCTCGAAAGCCATGCGGTAGGACAGGATGAAAGCCGACGGACGAGAGCACAGCGCCCCAGCGACGATGGGACAACGGCAAGACCCTGAGATGGACGAGTCTAAGCCTGAACTCAGTTGGAAGCTTCCTAAAATTTAGAGGTACCATGCTATAATGAGGATGACCGTAATTTGGGGTCTATTTTGGGTACCTCTATTTAGGGAAACTCTCAGTTTTACAGTTGAACCACCTGCCAACGGCGAATGATGGACGACCGACAGGCATGGTCACGTTCGGTCCGACCCTCGAGAGTCCGCACTGCCGCCGGCCGTCCCTCGCATTTCCGACATTTGGACTTTTGCATTAGGCCAAGTTCTCAAGCGAACTATCAAGATCCGCTGCCATGGACTAGGCACCGTACCCATACTTTAATGGAATCAAGAAAGTCTGCAAACAGCTATGCTATGGCACCAAAGCAGCCCTACAAAGAGCCTACGGATGACGACGGGGTACATACTGCCCATGAGACTTCGCCAGTATAATATGGTATAAGATAGTATAATATAGTACGATATAGTATGATATGGTAGTGTAGTATAATACAGCGCATTAAAGTATATTTTCTTATAATACCTGATGGCTTGGGATCTTCGGTTCATGGCGCATGGCTCAAGTTGGAGCCCACCCAGTTCCATGCTACTGTGTGGGGTGACCGCCTGCACGTGACAAAACTAAGGATCAGATTTGGTCATGATGATAAGCCCTAAACAACTGTCGTGATGCACTGGGGATCCGAGCTGGTAGACCCCGGTATGAGATCTCTGCTGTGGTGCCGCCTCCTGCAGAGGTTGAGAAGGGGCTAAGAATCTTTGACTTTGCGGTTATGGGGCCCAATTGAATACTGTATAGTAGTTTCCATTTCATTTTTCATTATCTCAATACAACCCCAATAAAACGCCATATAACCCAAAAAATCTAACCCCTATATAACCCCTGTATAACCAAGGTTTCAAGCTGTTTGGGCTGTGACGTCCAGGGTGCTGAGGGTTTAGCTTGGAGCCTCAGGATCGCTACAATATAGGATGATATAGGATAATATAGGGTTATGTACAGTAATAAAGGGATATATGGGGTAATATAGGGTTATATAGGGGTATATAGGGGTGTACAGGGTTCAGTTTTTTGGGAGGGCCAGGCTTGCTCTTGCAGGGGTTGGGGCCACGTGCGGATCAAGTTCTGAGGCCAAGATTAGACGTTCTTACAATTCTGTGACTTCGGGCGCGGCGTTTCAAGCTGCAATCGGGCTCAGGGGATCAGACTTTAATACAGTGTGAAGGACCTCTTTACCAATCCCTGCACCTGACTCCATCACAAGCACAGTATGTCGACGTGACATCATACGTTCCCCAAAGATCTTATACTTCTCGAAAAATTCAGGGATTTTACTGGGCCCAGCAGAATGATGACTCCAATCCTGGAGCTCTAGGGGATTAGGGGGTTGGAGTGCAGCGCCTGGCTTGGTGATGATTGCATCCGCAATGTCCATTAGCATCATCAGACGCTCGGCACTGAGGTACGTCGCATTGGGTCCTCAGGGCTAGGGTTTTGGGTCGTAGGGCATCTTAGGCTCCAAAACTTAGGTGAGGTACAAGGATTTCCGGGATTACGCACAGGTCCTTCCAAGAGCCCCGTATGACCCCATGTAGACACGAAAGCTGTTGAATTATGGGACGTGCATCGTCAAATTGGGTGCCTATGCGATCTGCGAGAAGGAACGTGCATCAGACATGCACGGAACGCACTGCAAAAGATGCACTATCAGCGTAACAGCCTATCGAACAAAATTCCAAGTAACCCCGCCCAGCCCTAACCCATATGGGAAGTCTCTACATTGAGGACTTCTGAGGACTTCTTGATTTGCGGTGATAAGAAACGCCCTGAAGATTCAGAAATGCAAGAAAGGTATTCTTTTTCACTGCAGGGTCCCCCAAAGAGGCCACCAAACATAGACAGTCACTGAAACCATGCAAAAACATGCCATATTATGATCTATAGTCTAAACTTCTAGTAGCCACCTAGATTAACCCCTTTAAGGAGTTTAGACTATAGCTCATAATATAGCCTTTGATATTTATGTTAGCTCGTCCTCGATGCCCGGGCTCACGAGCGACTTCCACGGTCACGTTGAGGTCGTTTCCTTGCAGAACCTGCCAAAACGGCCCGCCCCCATCACCTTAACCCCACCCCCACCAGGGGATTATATGGGATATGTGTGTGTGTATATAGGGGTATATGAGAGTATGGGGGGCATAAAGGGGAAAAAATCCCTATCATGAGAACAACAAAGACCAACAATTTTGTACAGTTTTATGTTTGGGGAATATTTACCATTTGGGGAGGTGGGGGGGCTACTATTCAGGGGAAAGGATTCAGGATTTAGGGTGGCTTGCAAGGGGGTTCAGGGCTTCTCATTTGAAGTTTACATGTTGGGGGTTCAAAATGCAGCCAAGAATCCTACGACAATCTCTCTATTCACCAAAAACCTACTTACACTAGAAACCCTCGAGCGCTCTGCTCTGTGTATTCCGCTGCCAGGCTAAAATTGGATTCTTGCCTCCTCCGGCGAGTGAATATTGAGTGGTTTGTGAAGGGCTTAGATCACAATCATAACGCAAAACATATGACGCGAGTGTTCCCACACGACGGACCTTGTAAGAGCATGAGGTCCTGCTGGCTGGGAGGCTGCCAGCATGTGCTAATGTCTGACGCGGGGCCCGAGAAGCAATGCTTCGCAAACATGTTCGACAGAAATGAAATCCAAACTGCAAGCTTCTAGTGCAGAACGTCTTTGGCATAACCCGGCGAACTGACAGCCTTCTCTATGAATGGCGGTGGTCAGGAGAAATTGTCCTCTACCTTGGGCCATAACCACAAATCCCAGGTTCACTCACAAACAATTCAAGACCTAAACCCTTACCCCTAAATAGTATTTCCATCTCATTTTCCATTATCCCAATATAACCCTAATATTACCACAGTGGGTACCTATACTTCAACTCACAGATCCTCATCACCTACGAAGGGCCGGAAACGTGCATGGCGCACCACTCGGCCATCTTTGAACATGGCGGAGTTTGTCAGAGCATGCTCCAAGCGGGTCTTGAACTCCTCATTCCTGGCCGCATGTACTAGGTGGTGAATGGGTAACTGCAGAGTGGCCCCCTTCAGGCCTCCATATAGTGAAAACTGTGGTACTGGAAACTACATTTTGGTGGCTTCTGAAACTGACGAACCCTAGCAGATAATTGCAAACTACTATGCTACACACACAACCAAATTTCCCAACCCCGAGACAGCAAGAACTTCACCTCTACACGTGTTGGGTGACTAGAAAGGCCTGCCGGTAACCACCAAAAGATGCAGAGGCCGCCCTATGCCTGCAGCAGCGGCAAAGGGTTTGGGATAAGGGTGTAGGGATGATGGGGTCTAAAACTGGCATGTCTTTTAAAGATTTTCCATCGTACCGGAGCAGCCACGATCAAGAAAGCCTAAAGAATGCCTGCGCCAACTGCCACAAGATGACGAAACTGGTTGCATCTAGCCTGAGAGCCTATTGCTGCAAGAAGGTAGATCTCAAAGCTGCGGGGTTCTGAAATACTGTACCATGCTACCTGGAAGGTGCTTCGAGGACTGTTTTAGGGGGTTATATAGATGTATAATATAGGTGTATAATATAGGGGTATAATATGGGGATTATATTGGGATAATGGAAAATAAAATGGAAGCTACTATTGGTCTCAATAGTCAACAGCAATGATGTGGCGGTTTCATCTTGCCAGGAACGATTCAACATCATTCGAACTCTGCGACTGCTACAACTCCATCAGGGGACACAAAAGCCGAAAACGGATCATAAATGCGGGCGTCCAAATACTTTGCATGACTACAAAACACCAAGCCATAGATCATTCCAAATCGCCGCGCCGACCTCTACGTACGAAGCAGCGACAGAACCAAGTTGGGCAACACAACATCGATACCTCGTAAATGCGGAGCGACAACTCAAAAGCCCTTGTTTTTGGGTTCTGTATAGGATTTTTGGACAAGTTTGCAATCAGTTTAATATGTAGAGTCCCATGCTGCATATGGACTTCCGGGGAAATATTTCTACCAAGTACACCAATCATTTGGGCTTCGGCTTCTTGAGCCCAACGACCCGCGTGCGGGCCGCATGTCTATCTCAAAAAATACCTACATGATCCCAAAGCAATGCCCCAGGTCATGCCTGTACGATCCCTAAATATGTGACGTCTCCGTATCCTGTGATCCCTACACGATCCGTACCCTAGCTTGAAGCTTGTAACCATGTCAACCTGATTTGGGGTGTACTGAGCATCTTCTGGGTCCTAGGTCTGTGCCGCCAATGGCCCCCAACCCCAACCGTGAACCCAAGCCCTGAATCCTACACCCTAGCTCTCCCACCCAAACCCCTTGCACCCTAAACTCCTAACTCTAAGAAGTATTCAGCATACCCTAAACCTAAGCCGGGGTACCCAAGAAAAGCTTGCAGCTCCAAACCTTACACCCCAATTCCCAAACCCTTACCCTTAGGTCAATCCCCCTATCACAATAGCTTCCTAATCTGGAGTTAACAGGGACTTAATGTACCTACAATATTCCCTTGTGGTACCCATGACTGGGTGGGGCGTTGACCCAACCTTAACCCAACTTCAAAGCCCTGAACCCTCATCCCCTAGCCCCCCTAACTCACCCCCTAAGCCATGCCCGATATAGTCCCCCAAGTGGCGATCGTGGAAAATAAATTCCCCTCGTTTCCCTCATAGATCTAACGGGATCCTCACATGATTTCCGCAAAGAACCATTAGATCAACCCCTATGTCATAGTATAAAGCACCGCTGCCGTTCCATTTTCAATTTTCTTGTCCATTTGACTTTCCATTATTCGGGATACACAATATCCCGAAACCTAGAGCCTAACTTACTCATCCCTAAACCTTAATCCCTCAAGCCTAATCCCTTAAACCCCAATCCCTAAACCCTGAATTACTAATCCCTAACCCTGAATCCCTAAACCCTATCCCCTAGTGCATTAATCCCTAAACCCTAATCCCTAAACCCTACTACTCCCTAAACCAGAACCCCTAAATTCTACTACTCCCTACACCCTAATTCCTCAACCCTAGTCCCTAAACCCTAAACCCTAATCCCTTAACCCTAAATCCCTAAATCCCTAAACCCTGAACCTTTGGTTGTTTATGCCCCCGGGCCTTCGGTTGCAAGCTGCTCTGGCCAGGGCCTGGGTCTTGAGGTTTTTTAGGAGGTTTTGGGTTTAGGGCTTTGGTTTTTGGGTTTAGGGCTTTGGTTCTGGGTTTAGGGCTTTGGTTTTGGGTTTAGAGCTTTGGTTTTGGGTTTAGGGCTTTGGTTTTAGGTTTAGGGCTTCGGTTTAGGGTTTAGGGTTTAGGGTTGAGGGTTTTGGGTTTAGGGCTTTGGTTTTGGGTTTAGGGCTTTGGTTTAGGGTTTAGGGTTTAGGGTTGAAGGTTTTGGGTTTAGGGCTTCGGTTTAGGGTTTAGGGTTTAGGGTTGAAGGTTTTGGGTTTAGGGCTTTGGTTTAGGGTTTAGGGTTGAGGGTTTTGGGTTTAGGGCTTTGGTTTAGGGTTTAGGGTTCTGGATTTAGGGCTTTGGTTTAGGGTTTAGGGTTGAGGGTTTGGGGGTTTAGGGTTGAGGGTTAAGGGCTACTTAGGATGTAGGGGTTATCTAGACATATAGGGGGGGTAGGTTTGAGATGTGCAAGGGTTTATGGGGTTAGACGTTTAAGGGTTCAAGAGTCCTGGGTTGAAGGGTTCAGGGATTCTGGTACTCAGGCTTCAGGGGTCAAGGGTTCAAGGCCGAAGGGTTTATTTAGGGCTTGTGGATGGAAAGGGGGTGGTCACCCTGAGGGTTACCGGGATAAGGATTGATACCTGGTATGCGATTCTCGTGTACCACTCAGTCGCGAGTGAGCCTGAATTTCGAAGAAGGGAAAGCTAATGACAAATTGCCGTAAGAATGAACCACTCCGTCCCTTACCCATCACATGTGCTTACATCATTCCATCATGATACAGTCTGCTTACTGCTAGTTAGTAGGGAGTAAGGGCATATAATCAAGAATCCTCACAGATTTTTTTCCCTTATTCATGCCGTACTAACCCCCAGAAACTCTAGGCCCTAGGCAACACCACCCGACGTCATGTTTAGGGCTTAGGGATAAGGGACTCACAAATTACAAGCCCACGCGCCATAAAAGGCCTTGATGCAAGATGACTCAAGAGGGCGAGAGGGAAGTCCTCAGGTGCGCTATAACCTATCCCCATTGATAACCCCTATGCTGGTCCCCCATATAGTCCCCTCTATAATCCCCCTTTAAGGAGTTAGACCCTAAACCCTAAACCCGATATAACACCCCTTTAAGGTGTTTAGACTACAGCTGAAGTCCTCCTCTGAGGGCAGGACACGTCCTGACCACCACCGCCTGTCATGACCAGGACAACCTGCTTCCAGTTTCGTCTTGAGGGCTTGAGGGTTTAGGGTAGGGACGCAGATGCCTTACTCAATGGGAGTTCCCAAAACTGGGAGTACCTTATGGGATCCCAATATATTGCGATCTGTATTGGGGTCCCTTTGTTTTGGGGAACTACCAGATGAAGGCTACCTAGAGAGCTTTCAGAAGGAGGATCACAGAAGGAGGGATGTACTATGAACGACACTGCCCGTTCATGTAGTGACCATGCTGGGTGTCATGCTCTCCACTCATGCTTTCTCCATTAGGACTTACTCAGCATTCACTCTCAGAACTTGCTTGCATTTTGTAACCCATCACTGGGAAGGAGCAAAAGATTCCCCAGGATGAACTCACAAGTCTAGCTCCCCCCCAAAAAATCGCTTGTTGTATAAGCAAGGCAGCTTTCACGTCAACTGCTCTGGTAAGCTAAGTCATGTTCCATGTGCGAGGGCACAAACGCAACCTCAACCATATCCATGAAGGAATCAGGTATAGCATATTGTAGTATATTATGGTATACTATCGTATAGTATAGTATATTATGGTATGTTATGGTATCTTATGCTACTACACCCAACCAACCGGGCGTAGTCCGAAGTTGATCACAGGAGGCCACTGGGTGGCGCAGATTGAAAAGTCTCTTGCTGCCATTGAACGTTCTTTCCACCTGCCGCGAAATCCAGATATGGCATTTGCTCAAAGCTTCGCAAGGAGCAAGGAAAAATCCTTTGAGGATGTCTACGCCTGAGTTGTGGTGGCCTGGTGCTCAGGGCTTGGGATGTAGGCGAGGGCTTGTGATTTCGAAGTGCCTCGGTCGATTTGCATGGCGTTTCATGTTTGCCCAAATTGTCTTCCCCTGGACACATGTGCTCCGGTTTAACGGACCCAGGCATCTGAATGTACCCTGCTTGACGATAACGTGGAAGCCTGAATAAACAACTACCAATCTCCTTCCCATATTATGACTCTTATGTAGCCAGGGTATATTATACCCCAAAACGTTATTGGCCTCTACAGTACTCCAGGAATGATTTGGGGGGGCGCTAGCTACTAGGTAGTAAACTGGGCAGAGCCCTCCCTGTTGAAGCTTAAATCCCAAGTTAGAGTTTGGGGCTTAAGGTTGATTTACGCTGCTAGCACCATGCTTCTTTCAGAACTTCACGAATCGCTTCAGAAGGCAAATGAAGTGGACACCGAAATTCATTGAGGGGTTTAGTTGCATAAATTTGTGACTATGAGTGGCAAGATTAATGAATGTTAAGGCGGCTAAGGCTTTAGGGCTTAAGATTGACAGCAACATGCGGTTGAGTCGTCGTTTGGTTCACTGGACAATTGAGGACGGAACTGAGATGAGGGGCGAGTACAACAACCACACATATGATGGGACTGACACAATCGATAGAAATGCTGGCAAACTGCTCCCCATACAGCAGCACTAGGTGTCAACTTGCCAGACCAAGCTCTACAGGCAGTTCATAGAACCTAGCCACTAGCCGCGTCCATCCCTGGAAGGGCCCTTGGTAAGCACTGAAAACATGTTGGAAAACATTCTCGCAGGCATGGTTCTAAAATTGCTGAACTGTGGAGGGTGCCGTTCAGAATACCCTTAGCGCGTAGTAAAGCCTCCATGAAGAAAGATTGGCTCCCCCGGCCCCTCCAACCTGCTTCATGGAGCAATCCATGGCCCTACACCGCTTAGAGTGTCTCTGTACGAGAGCCAAGAACTGCTCAACATGTAGGCTGCGCTCCATCAAACATTCTGGGGTCGACAGAGTTTGAAAATGATCTCACTACTGCAGGGTACTGTGCATCAAGGCCTTCACGAGGGTCTGGACTCAGTGGTGGACTCTTTCCAATGCAGAACGTCTTGTCCTGAACTTCTTGAAGGTGGTGGTCGATGTTGAACTGCGTCCAGTAGTTGCCGACACTTCGAAACTGCTCGTAAAACGCCTCCTCACAAACGTGTGCCAGCTCGCTACAACTCAAATGCATATTTAGATTGGGTAGTTGGTAGTTCCCATTAATACAGGGACCCAATACTCACAATATAGACTCCAATCACAGAGGCCCCCCAAAAGGGGTCCCTAATGCAGGAACTGCAACAGGATGCAGGCAAATATCAGCAACATCCAAAATGTGTACAAATCAATCTTCGTCTCATTTGCCATAACGGACCACGCGAGGCTTAACTCCTGCAGGTTCGCCCCAGTGTTGTCCGAAACCGTGAAGAAGACTTGCAATACTGCAGAAGTATCGCTCCTACTAATTTCCTTGACGTCTCTCAAGGTCACATCCCGGGCTCTCACCTTTGTTTCTCCAAGGAGCAAGAAAGCATTTGAAGCGTGTACAGGCCAAGGCCAAAAATAGAATCCAAAAAGACTTGATGCCCTGAAATTCCGTGCAAGCCCTCTCGTGATTTCTGGCCCTGCAACCCGTCATAAGCAAAGCCATCAGCATGCCTGCATTAATTCACACATGCTTAAGGGTTTACCATGCATTCAGGATCACTGCATAGGGACTATTTTGGGATCTTCCATGTTTGATAAGCTGCGCTGGTTGAAAATCTGGCCGGCGCTTGAACGAAGCCCATCACGTTCCGCTTCTGATCGAAGTATTCTAAGCCGACGACGCAGGTAACCTATCGCTCATTGCCGGGGTTCTCCGCCATACTGTTCCCTTTTTGAACCCCATGGTCGCTTAAGATTGGGGCATACAACAGAGGGCCCAATTTTGAGGAACGCGTACAGGCCGCTGTGATGCGTAAACAGAGCTTGCCAAACGGTTTCTGCTTCACAGAGCATAAAACTGTCTTCTCAAACAAGGCCCAGCCACTAGTCCCTGGAGCACCACCTCATCTTCCTCCCCAGCTGTCACATCCGCTCCGGAGTTTTCCCCAGAACTGCCGAACATGCCAACAATTATCCTGAGGCCCCGATTAAGCTTCAGAAACAGGATCTTTTTTGGGTACCTCATTGCATATCTATAAGAGGATCCCTAACGTTGGGCCAATATTCCCTAGGCCTGTGGCCTTAGTTGCAAGAGTGTCACAAGATAGATCCGAATTGCCAGGATTCCTTCTACAATTCCAATAACAGCTTGAAGTCACATTGAACATTTTCTTGTCTGACCTGGTAGCATCCAACAAAGAAACCAAAACGATGCTTTTCCAATGAGAGTGGAGTGGCAAGACGGTAGCTGCGGTCACACAAGCAACGGTTACGACAACCAGAGCCAGTTTCCAGGAGCAGAACCTGACAGGTACTTTGAAAGCCGCCACAATTTGTTCACGAATAGGTTCCCATATATGAGGCAGCAAGGGAAACTGATGATCATTCATCTTGGGTGCTGCCCCGCAGCAGTAGAGTTTTTTGAGGGGCTTTCTACAGCTGTTGTATAACGCTTATCTAACTGTTACTGGCTGGGGGCCCTAAACCCCAAACCCTAAACGCTAAACCCAAACCCTAAACCCCAAACCCTGAACCTTAAACCCCAAACCCTAAACCCAAACCGTAAACCCCAAACCCTAACCCCGAAACCCTAAACCCTACACCCCACTCATCCCAAAGTGTCCAGGAACCTTTCGCCTTCAACTTGACGTTGGCTCCGAACCTGCCATGTTTATCCCAGTTATCCTCCCCCGGATAGGCATTAAAGGAGCTACAGTCAGTGTTTCGTACATGAGCTATAGTCTAGACGCCTTAAGGGGGGTTATATAGGGGATTATATAGGGTAATGAAGGAGGATACTGGGAGTTTAGACTATAGCCCACATGACTTAATGGACATGGGCTGCTCGTTCGGGACTAGACTAGGGACCGTACTAAACTACAAGAAGGACCACTATGTCCACTCTTAAGAGTTCCATAAGATGTCTAGTATTGACAGTAGCTTATACAGGGGCGTCATGGCTTTCCCAAAATTAGCGGTACCTTTTTGAGGGTCCCTTTAATAAGGATGATTGCAATTTGGGGTCCCTGTTTAAGGAAACTACCAGCTACGAATTAGACAAGGACATATGGGAATTGTTGCCACCATAATGCAGCGTGACATGAAGAATGAGAGGGAGACTCAGGTTCCAAAGGGGTCATATGGGATTACAATCCACTCTCTCATTATACATCTCCCCCCAATAACACATATTCTCCCAGACTAGATGGGGTCCAGGGTTTAGGGCTTAGGGCGTAATTCAGGTTCACTTGGCTTCACTACCTCCATACCCCCACTGGTTTCGAAGATGAAGGTGTCAAAAATCTACGCTCGCGGGAACTCCTCAACCTGCAGCCTTACACTCCCGAAATTCCCTGTACCCCATGGCCCTGATCACCCTAGAGCGCACACTCCCTCAAAAAGCATTCCCCATTTCAAAAAAAAACGATCACATCAGGACCGCCAAGAAGACCCCTAGAAAATGACAGCATCCTCGCATGACCCTACTCAAAACCTGTAAAGGAACCATACGGGCATGTCGGCACATAGGGGCCCCTTTTCATGCCACAGACGATAATCCTTATCTTAGGCACTTTCAAAAAAAAACGTTTTGGAAACCCTGAGCCCAACCCACTGCTTTAAACCCCAAATCCCCAACCTTAAGTCCATAATCGCTCCAAACAGTAGATCCCTTCCAGGCTATCCCGCTCCAATGGAGAACCCTAAACTCTAAACCCTAAACCTGCAATGTCCCTTTTTCACAAACTCTCGCCTGAGTGCGACCGCCGACTGGTTCGCGCTGCACCTGGGGATGTACGCTTCAAAGCGGAGTTTCTCCAAAAGGCGGATCCTAGGGTTTAGGGTGTAGGGTGATAATTTTCAAGCAACTTAGGGTTTCCATTTCATTTTCCATTTGCTTTTCCATTTGATTCTCCATTATAGTAACCATAGGTACCCCTAATGGTACTATACTATTATTGTTATTGTTATTGTTATTATAGTTTATAATAATAAGCAGCTCAAGGTGGGTTTAGGTGATGAGACGTTGGGGTTTCAGTATGAG